CAAATTCGGCTCCACACATAGGTTCCAGCCCCAAGTCATGATACTTGTTTACAATAGTCTTCAATAAGCCTCTCGGGCACGCATGAAGAGGCTCTTTCGTTGTAGGATTGTAAAATGACACCAGGAAGAACGGAATATTATTTTCCCACGGAATGCGACGATATGTTGAAATGTCGACTTTTGCCAAAAGGTCAGAAAAACCTGGCAAGTTGATGATGCTATTAGAGACATCATAACAAGCAATTTTGAGATAAAGAGTCAAAAACCCACCATTCTCAGGATTTGACACGTCCAAGTCTTCCGTATAAGTTCGATCATGCATGTCCCAACCGAATATAATACTACAAAAACCTGATAATCGGTTAGTCGATAATCGTCAAAAAAGCATCGAGCAACATATAAAAATGGAAAACATACCAAAGCCTTCTCTCAAAGTTGATAAGAATTTACTCTTGGCTAACACCTTCCCGCGAAGAATGCCGTCCACGTCTGCTCCGGCAATCTTGACGCGCTGGTCGTTTTCTAGCAAGCGCTCAACGTCTTCATAGGTTTGTGGTACTTGTTCAGTGGACGTCATTATTTGATACGGATGGGAAACAGGATGAAAAGATCCAGTTAATCCCCGTTATATGGTTACACCAAGTTTTGCTGTCAAAAATTTGGTGAAACGCTTGCTTCCCCCCAAAAAAGAAGTTATAAACGCGCTCGCCAGCGCGACAATTAGATTCATGACTTGCATTCGTTCGAAATGCTTCATGAACTTTTATTAGCCTTGTCTGGAGTTGGAGGCGAGCTTTTCGTTCCTCACCCTCCACCACCTGAGAAGCCAGTTACCTTTAAAGTGCCTGCGGACTTTCCTTTCTTGCATACAGCTGAACGCTGCTCTCTTGAGCGTCTTGCTAAGTTAGGATTTCACTACAAAAGCATAATAAACTTTCTAGACAGGCAACGTGGAAGAGGATGGACAGAGTTAAATGCACGGGAAGAATTAATTGATAGGAGAGAAACCAAACCTCCTGGACTATTCGTGCAGACTCTTTGTAATGCCATTAACGAGGTTTTATCGGACTATAGGCAATTGATTGTCGATTCAGAGAAAAGAATTCTTAATAAAGACGTTGATATGAATGGTGTCGTACCTATTGCACATTTATCGCAAGCCTTTGGTGAATATCAAGTTATTCTACCGCAACTTCACAAACTAGTCCAAGAAATAGAAGACAATCCAGTAAAATATCATGGTGCTCGATTACTTAACCTCATTACTGAGAAATGTAATACTGGGGTCCCAGAACTGAGAACGATAATGTTAAAACTTCTTCATGCTTGTCACGGAGAAATGTATCAGCACATTACCTCTTGGATGGTTTATGGACATTTACAAGATTCTTTTGCAGAATTTTTTGTCCAGGACAAGACAGCAACACAACAGCAACAACAGCAACAGCTTCAGGAATACGAACAATACTCTGAAACGAGATGGCAACGTCGCTTCGTTCTCGATGATTCCTTAATACCGAGACATATACCGCGTCCACTAGCAGAATCGATTCTGTTTGTTGGGAAGGCTGTTGCGATTGTGAGAGATGCATCAAAAATGCCACATACCAAAACCGATCTCCCAAAATCCCTTACGACATTGCATCTACAAAAGTTATTAGATTTATCCTCTAGACCACAATTTCATCATATGGAACTACAGAATGTAGTCACTATAATACGAAACAACGTAGCGCAATGGCTATGGCATGTCGTTCTAACTGGAGATAAGGTTATCGAATGTCTAGAAGCATTCAGGAAGTATTTTCTCCTTGGTCAAGGTGACCTCGCTTCTGCTTTAGTTGACCAGTTTGAGAAACTTGCAGTATCGAGACTTGCATCTGCGAGGACGTCTGTGGTGAAAGAACAAGAACTGAATTCGTTACTTGTGCGCGCACAAGTGGGTTCTTCTGTCGAGAATGATGCAACGTTTGATAAATTCACATTCAAACTTGCTAATGACCAACAAACATCTTCGTCCAGTATGTTTGATGACTTTCTTCTTGGAGTACCGCTTCGTCTTGAGTATGAAATTACCTGGCCTCTCGATTTATTTGTCACAACGGAAGACCTGTCAAAATATGGAGATTTGTTTTCTTTTTTGATATCTTTGCGTCGTACTCAACATCGTCTTGAAAGAGTTTGGGGGCATCTGTCAGCTATGTATAAATATGTGGCTAATGCGACTACGCGACAGGCCAAGGATTCACTTCTTCTGTGGCGAATGCGAGCGGCCATGATATTCTTTGTCAACTGTCTTTGGGAGCACGTTCAGGTAAATGCCGTGTAGAATGCCTTACAGCATACTTGTTCACGTACGGCTACAATTAT